CAGAATTTATTTAAGGCATTCATATCCAGTTTCTGGGTCTCAAGTAAGCTATGTATAATATGCTGCCCTGTCTTTACACTGGGGGAGGAGAAGTTGCTTTAGTGGTCTTTATTCTCATAAGCATGCCTATCCTTGCACTGGAAAAGGATGTGGGGGAGCATATCAAGAGTAGACATTCTGTAATTGGGTCGCCTGGCTCTTTTCCTTATTAGCTGGGGGACTCTGGATAAGTATTCACCTTCTTTGAGCCTAGGTTTCCTATCAATAAACTGGGAGTTATAACTTTACCTTATCAGAATACTGTGAAATTACATGAGATAAGACATAAGCTCTTAAAACCATTCTTGGCACATTAAAAAAATACTCAATAAAAGTTAGTTGTTGCATTACTCTGGAAATAGAGGCATGAGAATCGTAAAATAAGATTTATCTTATTGTTTTGAAAAATATGCCCTTTTTGGCCCAGGGATCTGCTGACATGCTCCCTCAAAGCCTCAACTTTAGTTTTTGTTCTTGGGTTTCTGAACTATGGCCTTGGAAGGTATTATCACTGTCAGTGTCTGAGCTGACCCAGAGCCTTGTTTTCTGAAAGAACATTTCAGGCTATGTCACTTGTGGCCACCAGTTTTGACTTTATTTGTTTAAATGAAGCCCTTTCTAGTGAAAATATGTTCAAAATCCAGTTCACAAGGATTTTGAATCCAATGCACAAAGGAGTCCACGTAAGTGAAAGTTATTGAGAAATGGGAAGAGCTATCCAAACTAAGGAGATGCAGTACCAGAGGACTAGACTGCTGGAAGATACGACCAATCCATGCATGAGGACTCAGTCTATAGGCATTTGAGGTGCACATAAGAGGCTGTTCTGCTTCCTTCTGGGTTGTCTTCCATACAGTGGATGATGGCAAGCAAGACATGGAAGGGTGATGGATTTCTGGTTGACCCATGCTGGTAGCAACCACAGCAATGGGAGAAGCTAAAACTACAGGCAGGCCTCATCCCCAGAACGCTTCCAGATATACACGGTTGATATAGCTCTGAGCACTTTCCTTGTGACCACACTCTGTCCTCTGTGCAAAACCTGCCTACACTCAGCAGCAACGCAACCTTCTAGATGAAGTCCCAAATCAAGTGCTGCCCATCCTTAAGCTACTTATCTTATTCTTACTTATTTTCACAGATTGTCCAAGATACACATGATGAGATATTCCAAAGCTAGATCACCCTGTGCAAAATTTGTGAAGGAAATTGTCAGGAACTCAGTTCACAACCCTACTGCATCACACTCTTGACAGTTGGGATTCTTTCCTTGGCAGGTCTTCTGATCTCATTTCTCTGTCCCCCACCTCCATCCTTCCTCCTCCCCCTCCTCCTCCTTTTCTTTCCTCTCTCATTTCTTTCTCTCACTTTCTCATTTTCTCCTTCCTTTCTTCTTCCCTCCATCCTTCTCTCTCTCTCTTTTTCTATCTCTCTCTCCCTCCACACCCCTCAGCTCCTCTTTCATTATATTTACTGCTGATATTTCAGTATTTCATCTTATTCTTTACATGGAGAAGAAAGCTCCTTGGAAGACCCATTTATCTCTGACCTTCTTACTGAGAAATTTGCATGGGTTTGATGGTGTGATAAAAATGTTTCAATAGTTTTGTCACACGTGAAAGAACAATCTTTATACTCCTAAATATATCAAAGTTCATAGATCATTTTTGCAAAGATGCAAAATTTGAGTCTTTAGAGATGGATCTGATAGGCAGAAATGTCTTTGGCCACCAAGGCTTAAGAAGCATCTCTCCTAGTAGGATCCCCTGTGAATTCTTACCTGCAGTCTTTATTTCCTCTTTGGGGAGTGGCTGGCACCAAATCTGTATTTTCCTACTTGTCACACAGAAGAGCAAACATTAGGTAAAAACTGGCTATGAAGAGGGAGAAGAGGCAGATAGCTAATAAAACTAACATAAGTAGGTGAAAAAATAATGTGGATAATATAACGTGGATTTGTTTTCAGATGCATTTCTACAGAAGACCAGAATGTATAAAAAGCTGTTATATGTCACAATTACTTCTGCCTCCAAGTAACATCTGGAGACTACTCCATGCTTGTCAGCTGGATCCTTCTACTCTCTTGTTCACTTCCAATGTATTAGTCTGTTTTTGTTACTTATAACAAAATACCTGAAACTGGGTGATTTATAAAGAAAAAGAAAATTTATTGCTTACAGTTTCTGAGGCTAGGAAGTCCAAAGTCCATCTGGTGGTGGCAACAGTGAGCCAAAGGTCTCACATTGCAAGATGGTGGAAGCAGAGAGACAGACTCTCCTCTTCTTTTAAAGTTCTCAGAACCACACCCCTGACCACTATTTTTAATCCATTCACTACTGCAGGGTCCTACAATCCAATCACCCTTTCAGGGCTCTACCTTTCGATTACCGTAATAGGATTTCCCACCCTCATAACAGTCACAGTGGGGGCTAAGTTTCTAATACATAAAACTTGGGAGACAATTCAAGCTTCAATGAGTTTGGGGGGGACATAATTCAATCCACTACACTTCACCCCAGACCAACAAAACTCATGTCTTTTTCACATGCAAATACATTCATTTCATCCCCAGAGTCTTAACTTGTTTCAGCTCAAAAGACCAAAGTTCAAAGTCACATCTGTGAAGTCAATACGAGTTATCTACTTCCCAGATACAATGGTGGGACAAATGTTGGGTACAAACTCCTACTCCAAAAGGGAGAAATAGGCCTAAAGAAAGGTCCCAAACAAGTCTGAAATCCAGCAGGGCAGACATTAAATCTCAAAGCTGGTGAATCAGGTACCTTGACCCCAGGTTCAACCTTTTCTGCATGCCTGTGTGAGAGTTGGGTCCCCACGTCCTTGGGCAGCTTCGCTTCTATGGCTTTCCTGGACTCAGGCCACACTTCAGCTCTCCCAGGCTGGCATTGCACACTGGTAGCTCCATAGGTCGGGGGTCTCCATGGTGGTCACGCTCTCACAGCTCCACTAGACATGGCACTGATGAAGTTTCTCTGCTGCAACTCCGACCCCACGTTTCCACTTGGCATTGCTCTAGCGAAGTCTGTCTGTGGTGACTCCACCCCTGGGACAGATCTCTTCCCAGGTCTCCAGACTTTTCCATGCATCTGAAATCACAGTGGAGACTCCCACACCTCCGCAGCTCTGGCATTCTGTGAGCCTAAAGACTTAATACCACATGGACAGTGCCAAGCCTTCTAGCTTGTATCTTCCAAAGCTATGGGTCCAGCCACACTTGGGACCAATTTAGCCATGGCTGGAGCAGCCAAAGCAGCTGGAGTGCTGGTGCTGGAAGTACCTACCAAGGTGGTCCTGAGCAGTGAGCCTGTGGAGGGCACCTCAGGCCTGTTCCCCAAGACCATTTTGTCTCCCTAGGCCTTTGGGCCTGAAGTGTAAATATTGGCCCCAGAGGCTTCTGCAATGTTTTCAGGGACCTTTTTCTCCTTCTCTTGATATTTCCTTTCTTTTGTACTAATCTTCTTAGCTAAGGGTCGCTGGGCTGCACCATTGCATGCTCTCTGCCTCTCGACCACATGGCCAGGCTGCAAATTTTCCAAATCTTTACACTGTGCTTCCCTTTTAAATTCTGGCCTTATGTCATGCCTTTGCTGCCATAACTCAGCATAAGCTGTTACAAGTAGCCATGCAGCTTCCTTACTGCTTTGCTGCTTAGCAATTTCTTCTACCAAGTACTCTGGTTCACAACTGCTACGTTCCAACTTCCACAAAGTCCTAGGGCATGGACACAATGCAGCCAAGTTTCTTGCCAGTTCACAGCAAGGGTGATCTTTGCCCCAGTTTCTGATAAACTCCTTCTGATTTCTATCTGAGACCTCCTTAGAATGGCCTTTACAGTCCATATTTCTATCGGCATTCTGCTTGCCACCACATAACCAGTCTCTAAGATGTTCCAAACTTTCCCTCATCTCTTTGTCATCTTCTGAGTCCTGCAAACTCCTCCAACCTTTGTCCAACACCCAGTTCCAAAGCTGCATCCACATTTTCAGTTATCTGTATAGCAACACTCCACTTCTCTGGTACCAATGTTCTGTATTAGTCTGTTTTTATTGCTTCTAACAAAATACCTGAAACTGGGTGATTTATAAAGAAAACAAAATTTATTGCTTACAGTTTCTGAAGCTGGGAAGCCCAAAGTCCGTCTGGTGGTGGCAACAGTGACTCAGACGTCTCACATTGCAAGATGGTAGAACCAGAGAGAGAGAGACAGACTCTCCTCTTCTTTGAAAGCCCCCAGAACCATGCCCCTGACCACCATTTTTAATCCATTCACTACTACACAGTCCTACAATCCATTCACTCCTTCAGGGTTCCATCTTTCTATTACCATAATAGGATTTCCCACCCTCTTAACAGTCATAGTGGGGGCTAAGTTTCTAATACATAAAACTTGGGAGACAATTCAAGCTTCAATGAGTTTTGGGGGGACATAATTCAATCCACTACACCTGGTCTATGTTTCTCTGAAGTTCTATCTTACCACCACTGGTAACAAAATCCCATCACCCCCAGACACACTTAAAATTCTGTGCATCCAACTTAAACTGGCTGTGACTTTGAAAAATCCAATATAAGTAGCATAGAGATTTCTAGGAGTGCAGGTAAGAGTCCTCCTGAAATGCAGTGTGGGGAAGAAAGTATTTAATAAATGCAATCACTATGTCCCATAATTGCGCACAAACACCTGCCTGAGGGAAACTGAGCAGCTCACAAAAAGAGAGAGTTGGGAGGGGGATGTTGTCTCAGCAGGGTCAAATGCCACAAAGTAGGTAAAAGATGATTTGTTCTTTTTGAAACTGCCTCTCTGTGGTGTGCTCTTCACAGGGATGATGTGAACTCACACGTGCGCACGTGGAGATACACGTAGAAATAGTCAGGTGCTGCCTGTCACCTGCCAAGTGTGGCTGACTTCAAAGTTGTTCTCCTCTCCTCTTTCTCTCTAGTGTGGACAGTGCCTCCTATGAAGTCATGCAGATTGACATAGAAGTAGAGGAGCCCAGTGACATGCCGGCCACACAGCTGGTCACCTGGCAGGTTGAATACCCAGGCGGGATCACATCTGACCTAGGAGTGTCCAAGATCTACGTGAGCCAAAAGGACTTGGTTGGAGTTATACCTCTGGCCATGGTAAGAAAGTCCCTGCCTTGGGCTGTTAATACAGAACTCAGGGGAAGGGAAAGCCCTACACTGTGACCTGAGCTTGGTGGGAAACGTCAATGAGCCAAGACCCAGGAAAGGGGAGAAACTGAAGCGTGATGTTTACTGCCAAGAGCCAATTCTAAAAAATATTTCTTTCTAAATAATATTCTTAAAATATCATTTAGAAAATAATCAAACTCCAGGTATTAGATATGGATCTGCCATTAGATGAAAATTATTGATGATTTGATAAATGTCTTGGTATTACATAATGTAGCCTATTTAAAGATATCAAACAGACACAACTGTGGAGACCCAATAGGCCAAGCTGAAAGTGAGGGGTGAGCAGTGACTTGGCAGACCCAGCCAACGTTTGCCACACAGGAAAGCCACGTCAGATTCTGAATTTTTAAGATCTACTGATTTTTCAAGAGAAGCTGTAAATAGTGTTTTAATGTGAAACATAGATGTGTTCATGTTGGCAGCTATTTTTTTTTTAATTTATAGCACTACATAGGAACGAGTTAACTATATAAATATCTCATATGTAAGTCATCTATTTATAACTTGTAATCTAAAAGATTTAGGACTGTAAGCCTGCCAGTGAATTTCTTAAGATCTGTGGAACAGAGATGAGCTTTCATTTTTGAAAGGACCAGGTCATTCTTGTAATGGGACACACTCCATCTGTTGCTTATGGAATGGGTGATCCCCCATGTTTTTACCTAAATAAAATATGCCAATGCCCCATAGAGCCTTCCCTCTTCCTAGGACTCTTCAGGAATCCTTACAAAGGAATAATTTATTTTTTAAAAATGTGACTTTTCACAACACAAATACTTGGGCATGATAGTCTGCTAACAATAAGTTGAGGTTTATCCTGCTACAAAAGTCCTTTTACTATCAGAAGTGAAGTATGAGTTGACCTCATACTTTTATTTACTGCCCAGTGTCTCCCCCAGACCATCTATTAGAAAATATCAACAAGCACTGTAGTGCTGAAAGAACACCAGAAATCAATCTTTCAATAAGAGTTGACAGGGACAGTTGCCTAGTGACAATAAGCTGGTTATTATGCTGTTCACTAGGAAATGTAAAGGTTTCAGGAACTCGAGTTGATAAGAGCTCTAATTATCTGTTTCTTTTATTTTAGAGGCACCAAGCCTCCCCTGGTACACTATTTCTTGTACTGTCACATGACAGTGGTGTTCCTTATTTGGGCATTTAGTGGTCCTATTACTGGGGATGGCCATGCCATTTGTCTTGAATAGGTAATTATTTGAATTTGCTCCTTTTCAGTACCTTTGGTCTGATGAGCTTTTAGCAATATTCTCTGAACAGCTTGCATTGCTGTACACAGCCTGAGCCAGTCCACTCTTTGTTTCCTGTACTCAGGAATTCTCCTGCCTAGAATGTTCCTAATGCTCCTGTGTCTATTCCTAACTCCAACGTTCACAGCCCCCATGACACCACTCTCACAAGAGCCCCTCTCCATGTCCTCCGCTGATCTCTGAAATCGTTCTCATCCTACTGCACCCTTTCCTGCTGTGCTATGTGTAATGCTGAGATCGTATAATGGTAGAGCTAGAACACATCTCAGCTAAGACCCAGTTGACCCTTGTGTCAGTTAAGAATTGCATTTGGATAAGAGCAGCAGAGCTTTCTGCCCATCCACTTTACCCACCTCCTCCCCAGCACCCCCCAGCCAATGGTGGCTTAAATACAAATGTGTTTTTTCTTTCATGTACAAGAACTCCTAAGGTTATTGGCCTATGGCTGGTATGATGTCCTGTATTATGTGAGACCCAGGCCCCATATTTATTTCTTCTTCAGCAATAAAGTGCATGTATTCCATCCTCATAATTACCTCATGGTCCAAGATGACTGCCAGAATGCCATCCATCATATTCATCTTCTGCAGAACAAGAACAACAACAAAAGTAAGAAATGCAGGGCCGGCCCTATGGCTCACTTGGGAGAGTGCGGCACTGGGAGCGCCGAGGCCACGGGTTCAGATCCTGTATAGGGATGGCTAGTGCGTTCACTGGCTGAGCGTGGTGCAGACCATACCGTGCTGAGGGTTGTGATCCCCTTACCACTTCTGCAGAACAAGAACAACAACAAAAGTAAGAAATGCAGGGCCGGCCCTATGGCTCACTTGGGAGAATGCGGCACTGGGAGCGCCGAGGCCACGGGTTCAGATCCTGTATAGGGATGGCTGGTGCGTTCACTGGCTGAGCGTGGTGCAGACCATACCGTGCTGAGGGTTGTGATCCCCTTACCAGTCACAAAAAAAAAAAAAAGAAATGCAGAAGATCAAACATGGCCAGACTCTTACTTTTCAAGAAAGCTTCACAAGAATATAACATAATATTTCTGGTTACCTCCAGCTAGCAAAACCTTGGTCGTGTCGCCACACCTACTTGTAAGGAAGACTGGGAAATCTATTTTTAGCATGACAGGTTGCTCAGATCCTGTAATAAACAAACAAGAGGAGAATAGGTGTCTCAAGGCAATGAGCAGTATCTGCAGTAATCCCCCCTCATTTCCAGAAGGAAACTGAGGCTCACAGAGGTCGCTCATGTTGGTATGTGGGTGTTTTCCATTCTTCACTGGTCTTTATGAGGCTCCTAGGAAGCAGGAACATAACTAAGTTATGGTTTCCACTTACCAGCTATGCCACTATACTTAATTTCATTGTGCCTCACTTTCCTCATCTGCAAAGAGGGGGAAGAAATAATACTTACTCATAATATTGTTATAAGGGAAAAACAATAAATCAAGGGTACTCATTAGAGTGCCCAGCCCAGATAAAACGTGCAATAAATGTAGCTATTACTATTATCACTTAATTACTGAGGGCAAGTTAAACAATACCCTGGCAACAGAACCGTGAATTCTTTCAGGGAAGGGACCTGCTCACAGCCCCCATATTTCACCATATAAGGAGAGTGCTAGGCAGTGTGTAGATGCTCACTGATTCTTGAACTGAATTGAATGAATTGGGTTGAAACACGTTTGGTCTGATGGGTTCTTAGCAATACTCTCTGAGCAGCTTCCTCTGGAACTGAGAACGAAATCTTCAGAGTCCTGACTCCCCAGTCTTTTGTGTTGGGAATGTTCTGAGTCCTTTTTCCAGAAAAAGCTATTTGATTTTACATTTTACTTGGTTAACAAAAAGACTGTTTGCCACTTGGGGTGGTGGTTACCACTATTAAATTACTTTGCTTCTGTTCATTATATGCTCATGGAGAGAGATTTGAAGGAAATCCGATATCCATGTATCTATTAATTTATTCACTGATGTCACAAATCCCTGAAATGTTAGAAAAACAGAAGGAAATCCAGTTTGCTTGGACCATGGTGAGTGATTTGAGATCAGTGTCACAGGAGGGCTCTCAAGCTAGTTTAAGGAGTCAGATTGGTAAATGCAATGAGAAACCACTGCAGGTTGAGCAGCAGGGGAGACACAGGGACTGATATTGTTTTTAGAAGATCCCTCTGGCTGAATGCAGAAAGAGAATTCAGGAAGGCAGGAGGGGCACCAGAGAGAGCGAGGGGACTGTATCCTGGCCACTATAGAATAAAGACCCATGACACAGATCCAACAAGCTTGACTGAATGCAGAAAGAGAATTCAGGAAGGCAGGAGGGGCACCAGAGAGAGTGAGGGGACTGTATCCTGGCCACTATAGAATAAAGACCCATGACACAGATCCAACAAGCTTGACCTTTACTTGTCTCTAATTTTCCTTTCTAATGTGAGCAACCTGGGGCTTAAAAGGTGGCTCCAGAGTCTTAGGAAATAGCTTCCTTCTGTCCTGTGTCTGAGCAGCCCCAAGGATATTGACCTCCTCCCCATGACCCCAGTTAATAGCAATCATACGCACACTGCAGCCAGAAGGTATAGGCAAAGGGGGAGTCGGGAGCGAGTTTTCCTCTCCATTGAGGAAATGGGCCTTCCTCAATACATCTCCTCTGCTCCTAGCCCAGGAACTCAGCCAAGTGGCCATATCTAGCTGCAGTGGAGGCTGGGGAAAGTGAGGTTTATTCCAGGAGGCTGGGTGTTCAGTGAAAAGTATACAACAGAAGGAAGGAATGCATGTGGGGAAATAACTGGTGCAATTCTGCACAGCCCTGGTGGGCTAAGATAATAGCAGCGGAGTAGCAGTCTCACCCTGGATTATAGTACCTTCCCACACAGTGGATATAGGTGTGAAGAAAAGACAGAAATAAAGGACAAGTCCCCATTTTAAGCCCAAACAAAAAAGTTCCCTGTATATGTCTGTGACACTACCACACAAACCTAAAATTTCAAAGATTTTCTATCATAAAATATCCTGTGGCTTATGTTTTTGTACAAAATCATTGCACAAATCTATGATTCATTCCTTAAGGTAAACTTTGAGAAATAATTTTGATTCCAAGGATATGAATCAAAGGATATGCAATATTATAATTTTTTGATAACAGTTGCCAAACTGCCTTCCAGAAAGTTTAACCAATTCACAATTCTACCTGCTATTTATAATGATACCCACTTCCCTGCAACCTTACTAGCACAATATATTAAAATTTAAAAATATGCAATTTATTGAGAAAAAATTGCATCTCACTATTGCCTTAATTTGCCCTTCTTTGGTTGCATTTTTTTATTTCCTTATTAAATATTTGTTCTTTGCCTGTTTTCTTTTCCCACTGGGAATTTACCTTTTTCCTACTACTTGGTTATGAATCTTTTTTATCATAGCAAAAACACATAACAATAAATGTACCTTCTTTAAGTGTACAGTTCAGTAGTAGGAAGTATGTTCACATCGTTGCATAACAGATCTCTAGAAGTTTTTATCTTGCAACACTGAAGCTCTATACCTACTAAACAAAAAATTCTTGTTTCTCTTCTTCCAGACATGGGTGACCACCTTCCGACTATCTATTTCTGTGTATCAGTGATACTAACCCTTTTGTTGACATATTACAAATATTCTTACGAATTTGCCTTTTGCCTTCTAGTTTAGCCAGTCATATTTTTTTGGCATGCAGAGCTTTTGCCTG